ATATTATTGTCATATTATCAAATTAAAGTTTTAAAACTATATAGAAGTCTGTTTTTATAAGACCACTTGAAGCAAGGGTCTCCAACCTTTCCGGCTCAGTGGACCATTGGTTGTCGCAGTGGGGGAGGGCAAGAGGGGATGGTTTCATGTGTGCACTACTTTCACAAATGCAGGTTTGGCCCGGTTCTGAATGGACTGCGGCCCGGCACTTGGCTGCGGCCTGAGGGTTGGGGACCCCTGACTTGAAGGATTAAAAGGCTAATCTCTATCATACAAAATGTTGCTGTCCTTTCTGATTAAGATAATCATGATTTAAATTTTGGAAACAGAGGTTAGATCAGCGGTTCTCAACCTGTGGGTCGCGACCCCATTTGGGGTCGAACGACCATTTCACGGGGGTCGCCAAACGCAGTCCGCCATTTTTTTCCCCTTTTCAACGCAGTCCGCCATTTTTTTTCTCTTTTCCTTAGCTGTGCTACTCCCTCTTATTCTATTGGCTTTTGAAAGAGCCATCTCTATGCTCCTGGGTCACGTGTGGTCGTGTGTGTGAGTCACGTGTGGTCATGTGGGTGTGTGCGTGTGGGTCACGTGGGTGCGTGCGTGTGGGTCACGTGGGTACGTGCGTGTGGTACGTGCATGCGGCATTAGGAAGGTTGAGAACCGCTGAGTTAGATGGTATTGTAATGCCAATACATGAAATCCAAATTGCTTCCTTTCTATTAAGACATCTCTTCAAACATTCAAGTATTCAAGCTAGAGCTGTCAGGTAAGTTAAAAACTTTCAGAATATGGATAAACTTTTATATACATTTTAGTTTACCTTTGTAAGCCACCCAGAGTCGCTGACAATGAGTGGGCAGCCACATAAATTCTCTTAAATAAGTAGTCGAATGGTACAAATGAAAATGATGCAAATTACAATGCATCATAGGTAATAGCCTGTCAAAGAACAACCTCAAAATATAACCAACCACTGCTTTTTAGTTATTGCCAGAATATGTTCTAAGGTTTATTTTGGTGATTGAGGAGAGTGTAAGAAGAAAAATAACTGTCCATGTATTATTGTTATGAAGACCAGTAATTCTAATAGCATGAAATCTAGTATGATTTCCCATTTATTCAGTTAAATGCACACTTACATTGTTCTTTGTTGAATATTCTGCTGATAAATATAGAAATAACTGTTTCACGTTCCAATCAAATATACTTTGCAGATGTGAAAAAGATAAGGAACATATGCTGTTTCAGAATATGACTCTTTTCAAAACATTCCCATTCAGTACAAATCTCAACAAGCCAAGCTGCTATTTAAAGAAAGAAAAACCATATACAGAGATTGGCAAGCCTGAACATTATTTGAACTCAAAGCATTCCAACAAGTCCTAAAGCCCTGCTGGTTATAAGCTGGTAGAGTAGAAAACAGAGAAAGTGCTCAGTAGAAGTATACAAAATACTCACTAGAAGTATACAAAATTAAGAATGAGAACTTTGAATGTCATGAATTTAGAAGATACAGTCCACAATTTTACTTTGATTTGGGAACTGAAAAAGACCATTTCATTACACAGTGCTTTGAGCACTCTAACAATAAAACAGCAAGTAGATCTGTTCCTGCCATTGGTTAGACCTAGCTGAAGGGAAAAGGAGGGAAGCATGAGAATCATTATGTACTTAGTTATTAAGATTATTAAGATTATTATTTTTCAATTTATCTGCTTTTTGAATTCATTATTTTTTTACTTCTTTGCTACTTGCTATTTACAATGAATGCAATTATTTTTCCTGCTTTTTTTCCCCAGACATGATTAACAACAATGCTATTAAGTTGATGAGCTTTCAAGTTGCTGTGTGCAAATCTGTGTTACTTTGTTCACTGAGGAAGTATGCACAGTGTAAGCATGATCATTAGGAAAAAGCCCCCAAAGCAATAGTGAAAGAAATGAATATTGGTGGTATATTGTCCACTAAACATGCATTGAAATAAATCTACTACTACTGCATCTTTGCGTATTCAGTTCTATGGTTATGACTTCAAAGAATTATGCCTAACTATTGCTTCCATCTTTTCTTATGAGGAAGCAAAACCCAAGTTTTCAGTTCCTGTTTTTATCTATGGCAGAACACTCAATATAAGACTTAAAGTACAACCAATTTGAAACTCCTTTTCCATAAGCATCTGAATGGACGGACCATCACGTTTGAAATTAAAAATATTGTGTGAAATCATATTCACACATTAATATTCACATCTGTCCATTTTGGAGGCAGTGTTTCTCCCACTGCTTGCTACAAATGAAGGAAGTAGAGTTGATTCTGTTCTGTTGAAGCCAATAAGACATTCTACCCGTTTAATAGTAACATTTGTCATAAAGGATATCTGCATTAATGTCAAAAGTAATGATTCCAAGGTCACTTCTTTCACCTGGTCCAGTGAAATCTTCTACATTTTTTCTACAAAATAAAATAAAAGTATTATTCAATATTATTCATGTATTCCTTTCTAACATTGTCTCTTTTAGATGTAATTTATTCTTTGTTAAATAACCCTAAATAATGTAATATTTCTTTGTAGATTACAAAAATAATTTGTAAAATATCTTAGATAAAATATTTCTTATAATCAACAAGTAATTGATCATAAATATTCAGTATAATGAACACAATGTAAATTGCTAGTTAATTGGGAATCAACGTTAAATTAAGCTCTTTTAAAAAAAACTATTCAAAACATGCCAAGTAAATATGAATTCAGTATATGTGATAGCCATGTACATAATTTAGTTTTCTTAGCACTTATTTATACTTCTTACTAATACAATTACTATACCATGAGAATCTGGACATATTTTTACCTTTTTCACCCGAATGACTCACTATAAGAAAATACCATAAATGTATTTTCTCTGCATTTTCATCACTTAATTGATGCAATGCAGTTAACACAACACACTTTAACAATGTTATGTATATGAAATCTGAAATCCAGTTCATAAGGGTGTCTACTGAAATTTTCAGAAAAGTGTATCTAAATAGGATTTATTTTGCTAGTGAAGCAAGATATTTTGTTACAAAGTAACACTCAACATCTTACACTTTTCTAACTTCTTAGAAACTGGGATATGCTTAGCAAATAAGCTGTCAAATATAAACAGCAACTGATGTTTTTAAACTGAACTGCCTTTCTGTGCATCCACTCTCAAGGGAGCTTGCCAGAAGGCAGATTACAGCACTGGAAGGTTCGTGTTGTTCATTCATTGGTTTAAAGAAAAAGGAAATGACAGAACAGGAAGAAAAGGCCACACTTATGAAACTGACAATCTAAAGAAAATTAGATTAAGACCTAAGTGACAGCAAATAGAGAACTAGAATAGTTTGCAAGAACAATATTAAGAATTCCTTTAAATGTGAACTAAGCAGCTACGTATTAAAGGAGTGGAATAACATGTAACAGTCAATAATTAAACAGGAGAAGACGCTAATCTCAGAATTATTCTCCATCAACAGCAACTCCTGTGAGACTATATATAAAGGCTTTATATTAAAAAGCAAGCACCAGGACAAGGAGAGAGATTTAGAAAACGGGTTAAACAAAAGGGGGCGGGTTACTCCACAATACAACTCGGCACCCGGAAAAGTCAGGTCACTCTGACAGCTGGAGCAGCCAAGCATCATGGCTCCATAAAGACTAACAAACGCCCTAAAGAATTCGTTAGTTTTTGAGATGCCGCCAAAGTCTTCGGCGCATTCACCCTTCTCAGCCAGGGGCCGCTGAAAAGCAGAAATGCGCATCCCATCCTGTTTTCCCTCCATTTCCCCCTCTCCACGCCGGAACAAGGGCTGCTGGTTCCCATCTCCGGAGACAGAGAAGGGCCGACTGTGACGTTGCCCTCCCTCATTCACACACTCACAGCATGACACGGGAGACGGCGATGCTGACTGGCACGGAGCGCTCTTTGAAAGCAGTGGTGATGAAGCAGCCGAAGGTCAGCGCCGCCATCACGCTCAGCGAGAAGGCGAAGAGCGAGTTGGCTCGAGTTAGGACGGTGTTCATCTCTCCGCTGTCCCTCCAGCCCTCACAACACACACGCGTACGAGCGAGCAATTGCCCGCTTTTTCTTGCTCTTTGGGCCGGCCAGGCCTCAGCTCTGGAGGAACGGAGACGGGTGGGTAGGCACGCAGGCAGGCAAGCTCGAGTTAGGGAGAAACACGAGGACCTGAATCCGAAAGGAGAAGGCTGCTGCCCGGACTGCCGCTGTCCGCGATTGAAGAGAAAGGGAGGCCCAACGCAGCACCTTGCCTGGTAACGAACCCGCCCAACCACCCCGCGAGAGGAGGGCCCAAAGAGCACCCGTCCGCCTCAGCCCGCCCATAGGCGGAATATCCCCTCTCGATTCCACTGCCTACAAGTCCCATGAGCCTCAGCAACCATCTTTCGCTCTACTTCCTCCATAGAGATAGGAAAGTTAGAGTGACAGGAAGTCTGCCTGAGGCGAAATACTGCTTTTGAGTTTGGTTAAGTGACCTGCGCGGACGCCGAATTGAGGAAACAAGCTTTTGCCAGATCGGGAAGTTCGTTATATTTGCCCCTGATACAGCCCAAAGTTTATTTTTGAGATTGCTTGCTACGCTGCTATCCGAATTTACGAAGGTTGAGTTCTTAACAGCATTCCCCAAGCCTGTACCGGCGGTGGGGGGAAAGCAATGTCAAATAATTTTGGAATGATTGCTAAGAAAACTAAATGCTCCAACGCATTAAGTCATCCTAAGCGGAAATCTAATTGGAGACTATTTTTAGCCAAATTCATTTGGAAGGCGCTGATTGGAGCAGATGGAATTACGCTAGTTTCTCTACACCGCCTGGATAGCCTGTGAATTGCCCCTCTCCTTCGGAAACAGGTGCTGCCGGGTGCAGCATCGCAATGGGAAGTTCATCCCCTTGCGACACAAGAGGGTCTTAACTGCCTTGCTCTTATTTATTTGCGGGATGCTACTCGAAAGACACTGGGTGCAGCTCATTGGAAATACGGGGAGGACAATACTAAGAATTGCATGTCTCAACCTAAAACAGCAGGCGGGGCTTATTGTAAAGTTCTGGTTGAGTCTCTCCCCCACCCCGCCATGTTCTCTGCTGCAGTAAGCCAGTTAACAAAGTAGACATTGAAATGGCAAGTTTTCGACAGGGGACGCTGCTACTTATATTTCTCAGCACAATAAAAGGCGTTTTAAAAATGAAATCTGACTTCAGCTTAGGTTTGGAGAGTTTGGTTGCAAGCTTACTAAATAATGAAACTATATTTCTTTTAAAAACATATTTTTCAATACAGCACTGTAATGCATTAATACAGTAATGCTCGTATCAAAAATAACTATGGAAATCGAGTATGGACGCAAATAGTTCTCCAGGAACCGGTGGTCCTATCTGCTTGCCAAAGTAAGTGTTAGTCTATCTATGAGAAGTAAAATGGTGGAGGGGGTGACTCACAAATATAAAGCATCGATAAAGTAGATTTTATCCTTAACTCTATTTTTTTTTTCAATCTTTCTTATGCCTTGTCAGGAGTTACCCAGAAAATCTGGGAAATGCTGCAGTGGTGAATTAATATAGAGTAAACATATTTTAGCGGAACGACTCCAAATAACACCAAATGGTAGCAAAGAAATGCAGAAAACTATTAGTTGCCATCTCCTGTTGCTCTGGAGATTACAACTCAGATAGATTGTCTTAACATATCTAAAGTTTTGCTAGCAAAGACATAGTACTTTGCCTTCTTATTTATATATTAAAGCAGTAATGTTTAGCTATGTGTTTTGATCTGGCTATGATTACATATCCACCAAGCTACAGGAAAACCTGCTTCAATAACATCTCAAAGGAATTGTCTTTTCTAAGAAGACAAAGCCAGAGCACACAACAAACATAATTACAGATGCACACTGATAATAGCCTGTAGGCCAGAGTACAGAGCAGGAAGCAGAACTGAGGACCACTAGAAAGGAAAATATTCCAACATCTTCTACCTTCTATATAAATAAAAATGTAAATGTTCGTTTGTTCAAAATCTTAAATCTCCGAAAGTTCTTCACCGATTGCTTTGAAATTTTGACACAACATTGCATTTGAATACGCGCGTGTTTTTATATACCTACTATTATATACGGCGTTAAGCAAGGCTGTGTGCTGGCACCAACCTTATTCAGCATGATGTTTTCAGCCATGCTGTCTGACGCCTTTCAGAACAGCTCAGCGGGAGTCAATCTGAGGTACAGAACCGATGTAAAATTGTTCAACCTGCGCAGTCTCCAGGTAAAGGAGACTGTGCTACGAGATCTTCCCTTTGCTGATGACTGTGCCCTTAATGCAGGATCGGAGCAGGAAATGCAAGCCAGCATGGACAAATTTGCAGCCGCTTGTGACAACTTTGGCCTTCATCAACACGAAGAAAACTGAGGTGATGTACCAGCCAGCTCCAAAAGCCCAATACCAAGAGCCTACCATCACAGTGAAGGGACAAAAACTGCAAGCAGTGGACCAATTTACGTATCTTGGTAGTACCCTCTCCCGCGCAGTGACAATTGACATCGAGGTCAACTGTAGAATTGCCAAGGCAAGTTCTGCATTTGGC